CACACACACACACACACACACACACACACACACACACACACACACACACACACACACACACACCGCTATATTCTAAAACAAAGCCACTAGTGAAATGTATAATATAATGTATCTCATATAATTAGTATAATATATAGTATAATATAATGTATAATGTATATTATACTATATATAGTATAATATAATGTATAATGTATATATAATGTATCTCAACAGAAGTAAGTTAAAACAAATTTGGTATGCTTCAATTAACTGCTTCAAAACATTTCACAAAAACAGCTGCAGGTTAGACAAAAACCTCCAATAAACTGACAAAAAACGATTATAACTCATAGTTATAAATTCCCATATTTGAATTTCCATATTTACAGAATTAGAAAGTATGTTTACAGTCTGGTGCAAAAATAACTTGTAGATAATTTCCCTTTCATACTCTGAAGTCATTCACAAATAAGTATTACAGTTTGCTGGTTTGACTGATAGGTATGCCACCATCGCTGTAGCAGACTGCTGTCTACCAGAACTCACAATGTCAACAACTCCACTGTGTTTGTGCTGATGGTGCTTCTTAGAGAAGGCATTCTCAAACAGACACCAATGCGTGCAGAGCGTTACGACTCATTTAAGACATTTGTGCTTCAGTTTCGTGAGCGAAATTCTAGTGTTTCACCTTGGACTAAATAGCACTTATCTGTGCCTGTTTGTTGCATCCGTAAACTTATGAATCCTACTAGAAAAGATTGCCAGTTTTTGCTAATCAGCACAAAACCCCATATACAATATCCATAAGCTAACCCTAACCAGAGACCAAAAGCAGCATTTTCAAGGTGACTTTTAAAGATCTATGACTGAGCGTTGCTGTTTGGTCTCTTGGTCAAAGACTATCTAATCGGCTCTAAAACTGACCCACCACTTCTCAGTTAGCACTTCCTTCCACTTCCCAAGCTCCTCCAACCAGACACTGACAACCACTGACATGAGGATGAAAAGGATAAAAAGTTACACAAGGGAATGCAAAATTTAAACAAAATAATATTTTTTACTTTTATTGTTTTGTTTTTTTTATTTTCAATATTTATCTTGATTACTACATTTAATTTTATACATATATTTTTTATAAATATATGTAATTAAAACATCAACTGTAAACTTGAAACATATTTTAGGTCAAATTTTGGGTGAAAGTTTCTCTTCACTTTGGTTTGGTGCTGGTACAAGATCAACATTAAAACGCTTCCGGATCAGATCTGGCTGGCATAAAAGGAAGAGGAGTCGCAGTCACCTTCCACAGCTCCTGCAAAAATATATATAACATACAAATAAACAACTTTTTGCACTTGATGAAAGTCATCCTTTATCACAAACCCTCTTAACCGTATTGGACAAAAATGAGACCTTTTCACTGTTTGCATGTTATATTTTCAAAAAAAAGTTATTGTATATTTATTTTTAAATGGTTAAAAAATTGCTTTTTGAGAATTCCAAATGGTGAAAAATACTTTTGGTACCATAAATCGAACATAAGAGGAAAATTGTCTTTTATCAAGCAGTTTAAATACAAACACTGTCTTGCTGTAAGCGGCATGTTAGCATATCATACTGCAAACAGTGGTATCAATCAATCAATATGACACTCGCAACAGTGTCTCCAAAAGATTAACACTGGAGTAGCACTTTGTACTACAATAACAAAAGCAACTCTGACGTGCATTTAAATGCATTTACAGTAAGTTACTGCAAACAGTGTCATTTGAGGTTTATGATCAAAAATAAGCATTCAATAAGGTTAAAAAATAGCTAATATAGACTATACTGCCAAAAGTATTTGCTTCTCTGAATTCACACACATATGAACTTGAGTTCCTAATTAGTTTAAATCCTTCCAGAACCACATTTCTGAGGTCAGACACTGAATTTGGTTGAGGAGGCCTGGCTTGCCGTCTCCGCTCTAATTCACCCCAAAGGTGATCTATTGGATTGAGGTCAGGACTCTGTGCAGCCCAGTCCAGTTCTTCCACACCAAACTCACTCATTAATGTCTTTATGGACCTTGCTCTATCCACTCATGTGCAGTCATGTTCAAACAGCATGGCCATCCCCAAACTATTCTCACAAAGCTGGGAGAATTAAATTGTCCAAAACGAGTTCATTTAACTCCTGAAAAACAACCCCACACCATAAATCCCCCTTCACCAAACATCTTGTCTTGGAAACCATCAAACCTAGACTCATCCATCGGATTGCCAGAGGGAGAAGCATGATTTGTCCTTTCAGAGAACATGCCACCATTGACAGTTGACTGATTAATAGTTGCTAGTGCAGAAATTTCTTGACTGGACTTGTTGCACATCCTGCCACACTGGAGTTCACCGAGCTCCTGAGAGTGATCTATTCTTTCATAAATGCTTGTAGAAGCAGTCTGCATGTCTAGGACACCTGTGGCCATGGAAGTGATTGGAACACCTGGATTCAATGACTTGGATGGGTAATACTTCTGGCAGTCTAGTGTATAAAACTGTAGTTATGGTCAAATTATGTTGGCTAATGTTTTACTCACCAGTTGTTCTACACGTTCATATAAAATAAACTGATCAAAGTTAGAAGGGAGCTGATCGACTCTGAAACTACACCGTCCGTTCTCCAGGTCCTGAAGTTGGTTCATACAGTGGATGAAATGATCATAGGCTTCACAGGAAACATCCATGTGCTGCAGGGTGAAGTTCATCCTTGAAGATAGAAACATAGCCACTTACTGAGCATGGAGCCAAAAAGTAGAAGTAGGGGCGGCTATGGCTCAGGAGACAGAGCGGATCATATGTACTAATGAAAAACTCTGGTGGTTTGAGGCCTTGCTCCTCCAACCTGGGTGTCAAAGCATCCTTGCCAACATTCAAGATAGTGTGAGATTATGAAGGCTAGCTTAGGTACAGAAAAAAGCACTCGTGTGAATGGAGGAATGAGGCTTGCAGTAAAAAGGACCTTGGAACGTAGAGCTTAGGGTTAGGCTAACCCTTAAAGCCATTACACACTGAGCGTGTGGCAAAAACCAGCGACACAAAATCCCAACTTTTCCAGATCCAGACTTGTCATGTAACATCTATACAGACTAAACATTGTGTTTTTGCAGAAAATTTGTCCTGAAATAATGTACCTAGCACAGGGGTGGGCAACTCCAGGCTGTGAGGGCCGGTGTCCTGCAGGTTTTAGATTTCACCTTGGGTCAACACACCTGAATCACATGATTAGTTCGTTACCAGGCCTCTGGAGAACTTCAGGACATGTTGAGGAGCTAATTTAGCCATTTAAATCAGCTGTGTTGGTTCAAGGACACATCTTAAACCTGCAGGACACTGGCCCTCGAGGCCTGGAGTTGCCCACCCCTGACCAAGCAGATAACCAGCTTCAAAGCATAATGTCTCCACCTCCGTGCTGGACTGAGGGGATGGTGTTTTCTGGCTCAGCATTTCTCTTCCTCTAACACAGCAAGTCAGGCTGTTGCCAAACTCGACTTTGGTCTCATCTGACAGCAGCACTTTCTCCCAAGCGTTCTCTGAATCACTTAGAAGTAGAGTTAGATTTCCTGAAAGCCCACAGTTTTCCCACAGCTTAACGTCTCGACATTTTTGCCTGGTATAAACTGTTCATTATCGCAGACAGTTTTAAATTCTAAGAAAATTATTCCTTGTATATTTCTTCTTCTTAACATCTGAACACTACAGATATAATTGTAGATCACTGACAGATCCACACAGTACCCTTTGAGGCTGAGAACTTGTGGCCTCCCTCTCTTGTAATGCAAGTGTACTAGCCAAAGGTGGAGTCCTATCATGTGATATGAAGCGGCTAAATAAGTTGTCAAGTTAATTACAGAACATTTTTGGTAGAGGTAGTGAGATTATTTGAACATTTAAGCAGAGTTTTAAAACCTTTGTTTCATGCTTTTCAGGCCCCTCTTCTGTGGAACCAGCTTCCAGTTTGGATTCAGGAGACAGACACTATCTCTACTTTTAACCTCCTAGGACATACGTGGACATCACATTTTGGGTTATTTAGACCAAAATACAAAATTTTGCTCTACAAAGGCCTGATTTCCACTTATGAGGACATTATGCTGCCACTGACCTATCAAAATTTAAAACAAACGTCCTCATATGTGGATCTAATTTTTCTCAGAAACAAAAATCAGGTAAAAAAAAAAAAAATCTGGTAATTCTTTGTTTTTACATTCATCAGGTCCCAATCAGCCCAAATAGCAAAGAGAAATTAAAAATGCTGCCGTGGAAGAGTTCGGGTCTTAGGAGGTTGGTCAGGGCTGGATCAGGTGACCCTGAACCCTCCTTTAGTGACGGTTCGCTCCTCGGGGTTTCCCATAATGCACAAAAAGGTTTTTTCCCTCCTTTCACTTCCCACTGCTGCATATCATTACCGTGTATCTTCTCACATTGTTTGTGTTTTGTCTCAGTTGTTCTGCTTTTCTTTACCCTCACACCCAACCTGTTGTGCGATTTCTATTACAGAGTCTTGACTTAACAATATAAAACAGCTTGAGGTGACTACGGTGGTGAACTAGCACCACATAAATGAAAATCAATTGGATTTATCGTCGTAGTTGGGTGGAAGTTAATGCTCTGTATGTTTCATGCTGAGTCAAGTTTAAAGTTTGTTTGCTTGCAGAACCTCTGGGAGAAATATTAATCCTGTACATTTTCTCATTCTCATGTGAGTTGGCTGACCCACTATTTTTATCAGCTTAAGAAACATGATCATTCCACTGTGTATAAGGCCAAATATGCTCAGGTATACTAGATATGTTTTCACCATACCTTTTCTCAATGGAGATGAAGACAGTGCAGGTGTGTGGAAAGTTGCTGCAGAGTCGGTGCAGTGTTCGGAATAGGCCATCCGTCAGATCATCATCATAACAAACTGGTGACACATTAAGAAATCTGATTATTGCTGAGCCTCTGCATTTGACGGTTCCATAAATGACTCTAAAGTCTGAACTCAAAACTGTCTCAGTAAATAACTGCTTTTTACAAATCGCTTCACGAGTTGCTTCAGTTGCTCAGCAGTCTGGAGCCTCCTTTGCCACATACAGTATGTCAGTAGTTCACACTGTGTGCTACTCTGGGCTTTGCATGGTAGCATTTCTGACAACGAACTGGTGCTTAAACCTCGCTGTGAGGCACATAATTTTAAATGTTTGCCCACAGTGTCTTGTCTAGAACCTTCCCACCTTTTTCAAGAACTCTTTCAGAGTAGAGCATACATGGTGAAAAAGAGCTCTGATCTTTTAGAGATGTCATCCTTAAGACTTACCATCAGCAGCAATTATGATGCTAGTGTTATTCAGATCTGCTACCTCCTCCTTTGTCCAACTAAACTCCACAGCAGCATCTGCAAAGATCAGACAAAGGAAAGTAGTTATCGTACTGGTTTCTAGTTCGGTGTATTGGTGGTTAACCAATCAACTCATACATCCAAACTGGAGACTGAGGTCTGTTACATCCATCCAGCCATTTTGCGGTCAAGCAGGCCGCATTCTGCGCAGAGAAGCCCAGTGTTCCCTCACTCCACCCACCACCTCCAGCTCATTGAGGTGGGAATCAAGATTTTTCCCAGCCAGCCACGAGATGAATCTCTCCAGCGAGTCCAGACTCCTGAGTCCTGGGCCTCTTCCCAGTAGGACACGCCAAGATTACCTCACCAAGGAGGCATCCTAGTCAGATGCCCAAACCACCTCAACCGGCTCCTTTCAACGTGGACGAGCAGAGGCTCTAATCCGAGTTCCTCTTAAAGAATCAAGCTCCTCATCCCATCTCTGAGGGAGAGCTCAGCCACTCTTTGAAGGAAACTCATTTCCGACGCTTGTATCTGTGATCATAGGTGAGGGTAGAAATGTAGACTGACTGATAAACTGACAGCTTCGCTTTTATGCTCAGCTCTGTCTGTGCCACAGCAGATCAGTACAGCATCGCATCACTGCAGACGCCACCTCAGTTCCTTCGTTATTCTCTTGCTCCCCTCACTTGTGAAAAAGACCTCTGAGATACTTGAACTCCTGCACTTGGGGCAGTATGTCCCCGGGGCCCTGCCACTGTACAGCCGTTTAACCTAGTCAGTGGCTTCACCCCCAGTGATGGTGGTATCTACCACCAACAGGTTGATTTCACACAACTTCTCTCTGCACAGTGCGAGGATGTTCTCTCTCCATCTGGTCTGCTCCAAGTGCATGAATGTCACTTTGATCATGAAGAAAAGTGGACACTGCACATTTTCTTTTGAAGCGAATTGATCCACAGCAGCTTGACCACAGTGAAGCCACAGCTGTTCTTTCCCTTTATCGCCTGCTTGGGGCAGTGGAGCTGCTACAGCCTGTTCCAGCTGGTGCCAGCATGTGATCCGGCTTCCACAACTCACCGCAATCTGCCAAAATCCTAGAAGCTGGTGGCTTTGAGTATAAGCTGGGCATGTTGCAGCCCAAGGCACCACAGGCAGACCCAGTGACTGTCATTACAAGCCACAGACTCTCTGCTTCCTCTGGTGTAAGGAAACACAGACAGCCAGTCCTCCAACACCCGAGATATTTCCCTTCTTTACTCAAAGAGACCTTCAGATAAATACTTTTACTCTGACAATAACATTCATTCTATACTAATTTAATGCTTGCTACTTTTTTGTATAATGCAAGTAGGACTCAAAAAGCATAAAACATAACCGTGATTGGTCTTTTTTCATTATCTAATCTTACAGTTTCACAGTAAAGGTAGCAAAGGTTTCTGACCGCTGTGATGTGGCCCTGAGGTAAGCTTGCACAGGCATTGGTTGGTCAGATGCAGGTCTTAATAACAGTGACAAAACGTTGAATATAAATGTCTCTACTGAAACTCTGCTTTAGAGGATGGAATAAAGGGAGGAGACAGCCCTAAAGACAATCACCGTTTTTCCTCAATCCATCTCTGCGTATCCAAGCAACATTTTCTAAAGTGCTGTTATTGTCCAAATGTGTCCACACCTATCTTTGCACAGCGTGTTGGTTTATAAAATGACATATCTGTGTTACCTGTGCACAGGTCATCCTGAAGCCAGTCCAACTGCCTTACTTTCACCTCGTGATCTGACGGAGAGACAAGATTGCATTAAGTTTGATGAATCTTTGCAGTTTGTCATGTGATTTAGAGAGTGAAAGGATGGAAATTTTAATAACTATATACACACACACACACACACACACACACACACACACACACACACACACACACACACACACACACACACA